AAGGGAAGAAGGGAAGAAGGGAAGAAGGGAGGGCGGGGAGAAGAAGGGAAGAAGGGAAGAAGGGAGGGCGGGGAGAAGAAGGGAAGGGGGGAAGAAGGGAGGGCGGGGAGGCGGGCCGGCCGCCGGAGAGGAGAAACCGCCTCCTCGACTGCTCAGAGGCCGCTTCGCCAAGCGTCCATGTGTACGACCCAAAGCGGAAGTCGTTAGGCAGAGCGGAAGGGGAACCTGCAGGGGGCCTTTCGACAGAACCAGCGCCTCTTCTCGCCGGCGGCGGCAGTTGGGTGCGCGTGGGAGTGGGGTGGGGCAGCCGCGCAGGCGGGAAAGCGGAAAGGGGGACCGCGAGTCGCCGGAAGCCGCAGTGAGGGCGGAGCCGGCTCGTCACCGCGAACGTCATCAGTTGCCCGCCCTCACTCTCACCGCCCTCCTTCCCCATCCCCCCCGCCTCCGGCGTTTTAAAGGCGACATTGTGCCCTGAGGAAACGGTCTTCGCTCCCTAATTGGGGCATGAACACGGTCGGGGAGGCCGTCTAGTTCGTGCGTTGCAGCTCTGGAATCGCGAAGAAATTGTAGCAGCAGCGCGCTTGTGATTTCTCAGACCTTTGCTCCTCCCACAGACGTACGAGGCGTCTTTCGTGAGAGAGGACGTTTCCGGCCTTTTTTTTTTTTTTTAAACTGTGGGAAGAAGTACGAGAAAATATGACTGGGGGGAGGGGCAGGACCGCAGGCAGAATAACTTAATAGAATTGGGTATATGCTGAGCTCGTTATCGTCCCCCAGATCCCGTCAGTCCAATCTCCCGTCAGAGCCTTTAAATCGTCTGCTGCTGGCTCTGACTCGGTTTTTGTCCCTGCTCTTCTAATAGTTAATATTCTATGTGTATCGCCACTTCCCCCCCCCCCCCCAATATCCACTTGTTATGTTTTGCTTCTGCTTTAAAACCGTGATTCTCAGCCTTGGCTGCACTTTGAACTCACCTGGGTTTAAAAAAAAATAATACTTAGGCCTGTGGGTTCCACCCCTATACATTCAGGTTTAATTGGTCTGGCTTGAGGTCTGGGCTTTGAGATTGTAAATTTCCCAAGTGATTCTAATGTGCAGCTAACTTAGAGTCACTGTGAAAAGCATGAATTGCTGCGACCCTTTTCAAACATTTTTGCAGTTTCATGTCTCTACTTCTTAGTTGTAAGAGATGCTCCTGCTGTTCTCTAAGTTTTAGAATATCTTCACTGTCCTTCACTTGTGTAATTCTTAGTCATTCTTGAAAGCCATTCACCTGTCTTCTGAAGGTATAGCCTCTGGGATGTAATCACGTTCCCTCCTTTGTGGTCCTAAAGCACATTTACACATAATTCCATGATACTTATCAAAATGCGTTAGGATTATTTATACCACCTACAGGTGCAGTGGTTGGAGAGCAGTATGCAAGATACCGCAGGGCACAAAACTTTTTTATTTTCAATTGACAAAATAATTGTATATAGGTTTTCAAAAAGTTCATGGAAGGATTCCTTCTTGTTATCTTTTAATTCCATTTTCCACGAATTTTTTGAAGTCCCCTCGTATTTGAGGTACAATGTGATGTTTCCATACATTATACATTGTGATATGAGCAAATCACACTAATTAACATATCCGTCACCTCACATACTTATTTCTTTATGGTGAGAACATTTAAAAGCCACGCTTAAGAAAAAAGAAAATGAAATAAAGTCCACTCTTTCAGCAATTTTGAAATACACATTATTATTAACTATAGTCACTTCGTTGTGCAATAAATCACCAGAACTTATTCCTCCTTTCTAACAGAAACTTTGTACCCTTTGATCAATATTTTCCCTTTCTGTGCCCACCCCATGCCCTGCTGGTAATCACTATTCTACTGTCTACCTCTACGAATTTACTTTTTTAGATTCTGTGTATAAATTAGATCATGTAGTGGTTGTCTTTCTGTGCCTGGCTTATTTCACTTAGTATAATGTCCTCCAGGTTCATCTTTGTTGTTGCAAATGACAGAATTGTGTTCCTTTTAAAGGCTGGATAGTATTCCATTGTGTATGTATACCACATTTTTTTTTATCCATTTATCTGTTAATAGGCATTTAGGTCGATTCCATATCTCGTCTATTGTGAATAATGCTGCAGTGATCATGGGAGTGCAGATGTGTCTTCAACATTACTGATTTCAATTCCTTTGGATACATACCTGGAAGTGAGATTGCTGGATCATATGGTAGTTCTATTTTTAGTTTTTTAGGTACCTCCATACCGTTTTCCAAAATGGCTGAACTAATTTACATTCCCACCAACAGTGTACCAGAGTTGCCTTTTCTCCACATCCGGGCCAACACTTATCTTTCATCTTTTCATCATTCTAACAGTTGTGAGGTGATATCTCATTGTAGTTTTAATTTGCATAGAGAACAAACAAATTTTTTAGGTTAGCTAGAATGGGACCATTTCTTTTGCAGTTGTTTTGACTTGTTTTATTGATGGGTTTTTTTTTCCCACTCTCTCTTTTGAAAACAATATTGACTTCAGTTAAGAAACCCTGGTTGTCACATACACACGGAAGTAGGTGGTTGTACAAGGTGGTCCTTAAGGTCTTTTCTAACACTGAGATTCTGATTCTGTGTGATGTTAATAGAAGTTTAATTCTTCCTTTTTTTTTTTTTTTTTTTTTAAAGATGACCGGTAAGGGGATCTCAACCCTTGGCTTGGTGTTGTCAGCACCACGCTCAGCCAGTGAGCGAACCGGCCATGTCCACGGACTTACAACATCAATCTCAACGATTTTAGAAACTTTTTAAAGTTAGCACTATCTTAATCTGTGAACAAACACTTAAACTAGAAGAGCTACTACTTTAAAACTCTTCGTTCAGAGTTGAAGGAAGCACTCATAAGGTAAAGCGTACTACTTTTAGCACCTTGTTGAATACGTCATTTTAACTATAAGGAAATGTGTGCTGGTCAGCTCCCATATATTTTTTTTTTTTTAAAGATGACCGGTAAGGGGATCTCAACCCTTGGCTTGGTGTTGTCAGCACCACGCTCAGCCAGTGAGCAAACCGGCCATCCCTATATAGGATCCGAACCCACGGCCTTGGTGTTATCAGCACCGCACTCTACCGAGTGAGCCACGGGCCGGCCCTAATTCTTCCTTAATGCCTGTGTTAAACACAGTTATACACCATGCCTCTTGGTATTCATTCTATTTGGCACTAAAATTCTACCTAGGGAGAGTACAACCAACTTGCAAGTAAAGAAAAAAAATTAATGGGTGGGGGGTTGTTTTAGAAAAGAGAAAATTTCATCCACATCAATCACATTAGAGTTTATGGAAATTTATGTGAGTTTGAATAGATATATTTAAAAATTAAGCCTGGCCAGTTAGCTCAGTTGGTTAGAGTGCAGCCTTGTAACACCAAAGTTATGGGTTTGGAACCCCTTGCCAGCCAGCCACCAAGAAAAAAAATCATAAAAATTTAAAAGTACAAATTATCATAAACGATGTTCTGAAGAAAAATAGGAATATTTTTGAAAATACAGGAATAGGACTGTGAGACTTGTGCTTGAATTATTGGAGATCAGGAAGGTAAGGCAAATGAAAGCTCCTGAGTGGGGTGATATCCCACCTCTCAAATGGATAACATAGCCACTTGGGAAACATCGGAAGGGCTAGTAGAAGAAATGAGTGGTGAAGGGCTGGCCAGTTAGCTCAGTTGGTTAGAGTGTCGTGTTGGTAATACTAAGATCAAAGGATCAGATCCCCATACAGCCCAGTTGCCCCCCCCCAAAAAAAAAGAAGAAAGAAGGAAATGAGTGGGGAAGGAGAGAAAATGTAAGCATATTTGGCTGAGTTACCAAAATAATGATCTCCAAACCACTTTCAGAAATAGTTTATAATTTATCATTTTAAGCCTACAGTACAATGTTTGACACTGTACTATAGGTATATTCTTCTTTCATTACATTTTTCAGTCGTTCCTCTATTTGGTGATCAACTGATTCTATCACATCTCAGATAGTTTGAGAACTAGCAGCATATTTCCTTAGCTCTTATATTAACCTAAATGCTTTAGATCTTTCATGAGGTCAATCTGATTTTAACAAAAGGAATAACAAATTGACTGCAAAACACAGAAAAAAGGGCATTTCCTTTTAAGCCCCTCTGATGGAAAAATGAAATTGTGATTCATATGGTTTCATTTTAAAATATACAGCTGTCTCTCATATACAGAAGGGCCAGAAAGGAATTGAAAAGTAATGTTTTCTTTCTTTTTATAAGATATTGCAATCAATTCCTCCAAAATGGACAGCAAAAGCAGTAACTACATTCATTCCACAGATGCTACATTTATAGTGAAGTTGAGGGAAGGAATTCACAATACTGTGGGTATGGTCTTACCAACCTAGAAAAAATGAGAACACTTTAATGGCTTTGCATTTAGAATAAAACCCAAACTTTTTACTGTGGCCTCTAAAGCCATTAGCAGAGTGACCCTTGCCTGTTTCTCCATCTACCCCTATCTCCTGTCACTCTTCCCTTTACTACACTGTAACCTCACTGGGTCTAGTACATGCCATGCCCTCCCACGTTAGAGCTGTTCCAGATGCTTGAAATACTTTTTTCATGGCTCTTTACATGGCTGGCTTCTCATCCTTCAATTTTCAGCTTAAATTAGAAAACCCTCAGAGAGGCCTTCCTGACTATATTATATTAGGCACATACAAGGAAGTTCATCACAGCATTATTTGTAGAAGCAAAATTATATAAACACTCTTATGCACAGTAGGACAATGGATAAGTACATTACTATATTTCTACATAACTTCAAATGAATTAGAGCTACATGTAGTAACATGGATACATCTCAAAAACAATTCTGAATGAAAACAATCTTTTTTGATACCACTTCTGATCTTTTTAAAAGCACACAAAATAATACTCTATAATTTAATATATTGTAGTAAAAGTAAAAAATGTAAATGAGGATGATACACCACCTTCAGAATAGTAGTTACTTGCAGGGAGGAGTAAGGGATGAGGTAATGCTTTATTGGTTATTAGCTACTAGTTATATCTAACGGATTTCTTGAAGAAAAACATGAAGGACATGTGACAATATTAATAACAAGTCTGGGGATAGAGATATGATTATTAATATGTTACATACTTTTAAATATTTTTGAAATATTTCATAATTTCAAAACACTTAATTAAAATGTTTCTATTAGTATAATTTACACTAGCTGCTTTTTTTTTAAAGATGACCGGTAAGGGGATCTTAACCCTTGACTTGGTGTTGTCAGCACCACACTCTCCCAAGTGAGCTAACCGGCCATCCCTATACAGGGATCCAAACCCGTGGCCTTGGTGTTATCAGCACCACCCTCTCCCAAGTGAGCCACGGGCCGGCCCTACACTAGCTGCCA